GCATCATCACTGTGTCTGTCACGCGACTCTGTTGCCCTTTCGGGCTTGAACTGATGGTAAAACTAACCACATTATTAACTGTCTTGATATTTACTTTGAAAGCTGAAGCAATTATGGTAAGGGGCGTTACATTTCCGACGCGTACTTGTGGTGTTCGGCCAATCACAATGCACTGGGTCAGCTGGCCAATCAGAGCAGACTGCGCTTGTCAAAGGAGGGGGCTTTGTTGAAAACGACACGTTTGAGAGAGGCGGGGCATAGAGGACCTACAATAATGTACAGTATTTGAAAAAATAACATGTTTTTGAACATTAAAGCATGTCAACATATTCTGTTTCACCAAATACACAAAATAATGATCTTTAAAATAGCATCATATGACCCCTTTAACTAGTCAAGGTTGACAAAACACTAACGAAACAAAAATCAGACAAGCTATTGTCTAATTGCAGTTCTCAACACAAATTCAGAAGATAAAGATACCATTTTTGGTCATGACTGCACACTCTTAATGGCAGCTCTTTGGATTCCGATGGTGTACCTTCTGTGTGAACCTGCTGATGAGCACGTAGCGTGAAATGAACCATACTGACCTCTGGGACATAGTTATCCCGTCTCTCTCTCTCCTCCTCCTGCAGTTTGATGGAGATGCCTCTGACGGGACCCCTCTGAATGCGCTTCATCAGATGGGTCACATACCTGCAGAGACACATTTTTATATGTAGATTAAAAAATATAAACCTACATAATACCTGGCCACAAGACCATCTTATGTATGAACAGCCCTGATTACCATATTCATGTCCCATGGCACTCACTCACCCCGCGATCTTGTTGCGCAGAGGTTTGCTGGGGATGATGGCGATCTCCTCACACACTCTCTTGTTGATGTGGAAGTCATTGCCCAGGCGGGTGTAGTACTTCTCGATGACCACCCTGGCGGCTTTCTTCACGGTCTTGGTTCTCACGCGCCCCTGTCAGCACACACACCAGTCAGTCACAGTACTTGCGACCGAGATCAGAGCATTTCCAAAGCTCACACGGCATCAACAATACAACGACATTAAGATACCAACACTTAACACGTGCTCTAGTTCAGGACACGTGAAGAAGAGCTATGGCTTTTAACGGTTTTCACACATGAGCACACGAAAACGGCAGGATAAACGAGTCACTATTTACATTCCGCTCAAAGCATCAAACTAGTTCTATATAAATCAACATTGTATTGCAGACTGTAACATCAAATTCAAAAGTTGTGAACCGGGAGATGACGCGGAGTTGTTTTTTTTTCAACATCCTACATTACCGCTGCTGCCAAATGTCAAAAATACTTAGTGTTTAAGAATCTTAAAAGTATTAACAAAACATTTAGGTGCTTTCAAAAAGGTGACGAGCTGATAAAACACAGGATTAATACGGATTGACAGGAGGTCGCTGTGAAACATACACACCATATTGAGCCGGTCTAGAGGAAAAGGGTTAACAAAACGAACGGTGCGGACGTTTATAAAGCTCTGCCGGAAATGACATAAAAGTCTCTGAATGACAAACATCACCTGCTTCAAATCAACGGGTAAAATAAAAAGGCCGGTTTTATTTCAAACTTGCACATATCACACAACTAACAAAATAACGTTGCACAAAAACAATTTACCACATAAACTCACTCCAGACTAGTAATTTAGTCAATAAATTAATTCGTGTATGGGCTCATTGGAAACAACAACCAAATCTATCATGTTATGAGAGATTTTATAAGCCAGCATACCTTCCAAGAAATGTCATTAATTAACAAGAAATAAACTTTCATGCCTTTGTTAGAAGGCTGCTATATTTGATCTACAACATCCAAGTAACGAGAATAAGATTCACCTGCTAATATGACAAGTTTGTATGTATATTTGTTCAATGCAGATTTAAGGGTAGAATAATTAACTTAGAGCTGAGGAAAACTAGATTAAAACTAATGCATCCACTTTCACTCACCCTTTAACACTTTTAAAAGTGTTAAAACTTCAAAACTTCACCTTTACACTTCAGGAAAAATATACAGAGATGTACTCTGTATATTTTTCCTGAAGTGTAAAGGTGAAGTTGTACCCTTGGGGTAAGAAGGCCCCTGGAGACATCTTGCCCCAAAATATTAGGTAGCTTTAGAAGTGTTAAAGGGTGAGTGAAAGTGGATGCATTAGGTTTAATTTACCTCCAATTCAGGATGAAATAGTCTGAGATATAAGTATTATGGGCAGGGTTGCCAGGTTTTCGCCGAAAAACCCGCCTTGCTACTCAAAACTAGCCCAATCGCGTTTCGAGGGGGATTCCCCTGTAAAAATCGCATTCCGGGGGGTAAAATACACGTTTTTCGGCGGGGATCCTCCAGTAAAATTCGCATTCCAGGGGCTAAATATCACGTTATTGGGGTCGCTTCAACCCGCGGACATGAAAAACAACCCGCGGCAACAGTGTTAAAGTACCCGATTCCGCGGACTTGGCAACACTGATTATGAAGGAGGGGATAAAATAAATGTGTTTATAAATTGGGGACAAATTTGTAACCTGAAAACTCACTTTTGGGTACATCCTCATTTGTAAAAATAATAATAATAATAAATAAAAAGATATATAAAAATAAAGAAAATAAAAAGTACATAAAAATTTCTGTGAGGGTTAGGGTTTTAAAAGTTGTAGTATTTACTATTTATAATTAGCTCAATATAAAAACAGAAGTATATGGAACATCCCCATTTAAATCGCTATGTAAACGTGTGTGTAAACATACTTTATTACATTGTTATGTTGTTCTTTAATAATTCGTCAGCCTAAGAACAATACTGTAAACTTTAGCATCTCAAGTCAGCATCACCACAGCCTAAAACTGAGTGGAATATTTCAGTCCAACTGCATTGGTAACTGCTGCTATATTGTGACATGTTTTCAAGTTTAAAAAAAGTTGCATGTAATTGCCTTTCAGGTACCTCTCTCTGAAACTATGCTCCTGAACATTTGTCATTATGAAACATTCAATTTCAGTAAATGTTTTCAAATCACATTAGATTTTCTCTTTCATAATTGTAAATTTTCATTACAACTAAATTGTTTCTATTTGACTCCCATAATAGTCTGTTGGGTGATGCATAATAATCCTCTACATGCTAAACTCATATGTAAATATGTTAACAGTTTATCAGTATATGGACATTGTTCTTAAGGGAGGCTTCTTCCCCCATCTTAACTTGAAGACCATGAACAAAATATATAAAAAAATGTATTCTGCAAACAACTCCCAGAACCAATGTCCTCCTTTTGCATGCTAGTATTTTATAAAAAATGAGCAATCTGCAGTATACATTATGTATGTGTATTATGTATGTGTTACGAGTTCATAAGGAATATCTATTAATAAACAGACTGAACACATAACCCACAATTTTTCAGGCCATAAAGGTTTTAGGCTACAAATACCCTCTTAAAAAGACAGACACACTCTCACTCAATGGTTAAGAGACATTTTCTTTTATTTTACATAAAAAAGGGTGCAAACTTGAGTTTCCCTTTAAGTGTGGAGGGAATAAAAATTTAATTTGAAAGGTTATGTATGGAATTTGATATGACTCCTCAGGAAAATAGGCATTTTAAATAAGATTAAGACCACAAAATATACAAAATATATTTAGAGAGAGAGAGAGAGAGAGAGAGAGAGAGAGAGAGAGAGGAGAAAACAAAACGGGTCCATCACAGTTGAAGCCCTTGACAAAGTAAAATCATTGAAATACATTTAAGCAACATTCATATTTCAACAATAAATTCATAATACAATGAAATTTAAAGTATCTTTGTAAGTATGACCAGAACAAGAGAATGACTCTTGCTGTACTGTACAATTCAGTTTTTAATATGTTACGAAGTACAGAATCATCCTTACTGAAAGAAACACTACAAAAAAAAAAAAAAAAACGTGAAAAAGAGAATTCAAATATTGCAGTGCTTTCCTACCAGACTCCTGTAATATAATCATTCCGAGGTCATTAAAAATGAGCAGTTAACCACATCGGACTGTTCACTTCAAAAAAATAAATAAAAATGCTCAAGTTCCCACATTAACTAAAACCTTGAGACAGGAATGATTACATTTTTCAGAGAGAAAAAAAGCTATGACTGTAGCAGACACAATGGAAGGGCAATACAGTATACAGCGGCAAAATAGTACGCAGTGGACATTTACCTGCTGA